TTACTATTCCACCTCTGCCAAGTATAAATTACCCCAGGATTATTTTTGCTTATCCATCAAACCAAATGACCCCTTAATGTACAAACGAAACAACAATGCAAATCACAACTATGCATTTTTTATTTATTCATGAATTTATTTTTAGCTGTAGGTAGCCACCACCAACAGACAGGATACACACGCAGATAAAAAGTATTCAACTTGCAAAGCTATATTAAACAGTCCTCTCCAACTGATGCATCCAAAATGAAACTTGTGAACAACCAAAACAAGCACAGTATAAACTTCTCCAAAATCCAATTGAAATACAAGTTGTAACAGCTTAACAAACACAGTCTCTTATCAAAAAAGCCAAATAAGCACAGAGAGAGAGAGAAAAAAAATTACAACAACAATTTTCTCGATATTCTCAAATATTACTGGCAGTTTTCTTCCACATAATAGCTAGTGATAAGTCAAGCCACTAATGATCAATTCAAATACTTTTACCAACATAACCAAAAACACAAAAAGACAGCAACTTTTTCAAGAATGACCAATCTAAAGGAAATCTACCACTTGCGAACGCGCATACCATCGCGTCAATGTGGCGATGGATTCATTGACACAACACATTCAAGGGAGGTGCCTTGGTGCTTGTTATTTGAGGATGACATAGTCCTGATTGATGAGACGCAGGGTGGCGTTAACGAGAGGCTGGCGGTCTGGAGACATACTCTGGAGTCTAAGGATTTAAGTTGAGCAAGACCAAGCTAGAATACTTGGAGTGCAAGTTCAGCGGTTTTACCCAGGAGACGGACGGGGATGTGAGGCTTGATACGCAAGTCATTCCCAGGAGAGAGAGTTTCAAGTTTCTGGGGTCTATAATTCAGAAGGATGGGGAGATAGAGGAGGATGTCACACACCGTATCGAAGCAGGGTAGATGAAGTGGAGGCTCGCTTCCGTTGTCTTGTGTGATAAGAATGTGTCGTTGATACTTAAGGGCAAGTTCTACAAGGTAGTGGTTAAACCGACTATGTTGTATGGGGCAGAGTGTTGGCCAGTCAAGAACTCTCATGTCCTTAAAGTAGCTGAAATGAGGATGTTGAAATGGATGTGTGGGCATACTAGGTTGGATAGAATTAGGAATGAAGTTATTCGGGACAAGGTGAGAGTGGCCCCTGTGGAGTCAAAGATGCGTGAGGCGAGGCTGAGATGGTTCGGGCATGTTAAGAGAAGAAGCATAGATGCCTTAGTCAGAAGGAGTGAAAGTTGGCCTTGGGAGGTGAGAGGAGGGGTAGAGGTAGGCCAAAGAAGTCTTGGGGAGAGGTGATCAGGCGGGACATGGCGCAGCTTGAGCTAACCGGGGACATGACCCTAGATAGAAGGGTGTGGAGGTTGAAGATTAGGGTAGAAGGTTAGTAGGTAGTTGTAAACCCCTTTGTCTTCTCTAATTCGATAGTATTAGTGCTAGTATGGTACCTTTTTATCCTTAGTTTGCTATATTTGCATGTCTTGTTTTGTTATTACTTGCCATCTATAATTCCGTAGTTTGCTAGCAGTAATTCGTTCATATTCTCGTTTGCTGCCTTGGATTTAGTTTTCTAAATATATTGTCTTGCTATTACTCCCTCCGGTCCAAAATAAGTGATTTTTAAGTTGTTTTCACACAAATTAAGAAATTCACCTTTTAACATTAATTAGCAATGAAATTGACAATATTAACACATATCTATTCACATAAATTGACAAATTCACCTTTACTATCTCTTCACATAAACACTCCTAACACATATTCAAACACTATTTACTCCAAGGACAATGTTGGAAAAAAATAATTAATTCATTCTTGCAATTTGAAAAAATCACTTATTTTGGACCACAAAAAAAGGCCAAAAAATCACTTATTTTGGACCGGAGGTAGTACTTGTTATCGGTACCTCTTTCATATTCTCTATTGCTATCTTCGATTTAGTTTTCTAATTATTTGTCTTGCTATTACTTGCTATCAGGGCTTCTTTCACCTTCTTTAGCCGAGGGTCTATCGGAAACAGTCTCTCTGCCCTTCCAGAAAAGAGGTAAGGCTGTGTACATCCTACCCTCCCCACTTATGGAATTATACTAGGTGGTTGTTGTTGTTGTTGTTGTGTTGAACGTACATACAGTAAACAGCAACATAAGTTGCATTAACAATTTTCTCCACATTCTCCAATATTTCTAGCAACTTTCTTCCACATAATAGCTAATGATAAGTCAAGCTACAAATGATACAATAACAACAACTATGCCTCAGTTACGAGCTAGTTGGTTCGGCTCTATGAATCCTGGCTGCTTCATTTAAGCTCAATTCATGTCATCATACATGATCAAGCTAACAAAGACTGATAGAGAACACAATAGACAGCAAACCAAAAAATACCTAAACAAAGGTGATTAACATATTACCCGAAAAGCAGCTTCATTTTCACGAATACGCATACAATGAACAGCAATGTAAGTAGCATCTTCTTGTTTAAGCCATTTCCTCTGTGCATTAAGAATCCGAACCATAGTAGGTGTTTTATGTGCAGGAAGTTCCTTACAAAGCCAAGCTAATCTTGACCTACGCCATTGATCAGGAATGTCCTCTAGTTCACTAACTTCAACGGCCGGTGTTTCGAACTTTTTCAGCTCAGTAGAATCAAAAGACTCGTCAAAATTGAAACTTTCAGGAAACCCAGATGAAGAAATGTCCAAATTGTTATTGCCTTGGATTTCATGGGATGAAAACAGAACTTGTTGGGGTAAAGTGGATAAGGGAGAAAATGAAAGGGGTTTTAGGGGAAGGGAAAAGGGTGATGAGGTGGATAAGAGGCGGGGGCGGTGACGGTGGTGGAAAGGGGAGGAGGAGAGAGAGTGGAGGAAAGTGAGGGCTGTGCTCATGGGGTATTGGACAAAGGAAATTATCATCATAAAGAAGCAGAGTACTATGTACTTGCCATTTATCCAGTCTAGTGTTCCCTGCTAGCTCTTCAAACTGGAATATTCATTCATTTCGAATACCAAATAATCTTAAAAGTTGGGTATTATATACAAATTAAATTGAACTGTTACTCGGGTGTTTATGGTTCGGCTTAAATCGGTCCAGAAACCAAATCAAGTAAGTCGACTTTTCAAATATTGGAATTAAATCAAATCAATTAAGTCGGTTCATATCGATTCGATTTTTTTGGTTATTTATCGGATTTCTCTTACATATAAGACATGCACTATCAAACACATAGTACATTTCCAACACAACATTATCAAACCAAGTGCTCTTTGAGAAATCTGTCATTTACCAAGATATATTTATGATTATTGAATCAAATAGTGATGAATGATTTAAGGACTTAATTAAAATTAAAATAGATTATTTTTAACATAAAATAAATTATTGTACTTAGCTAAAAAAATTATCAATCAAACTAGAAGGTAAAGACAAAGAACTAGATTATTATAATAGCAAAGAACTAGACTAAAAGTGTAAAAGATTAATATGTACCATAAAATTTTAATAAACTTTATATATATATATATATATATATATATAATAACAAATTTTAAATAGCTACTTCTATAGCCAACTTGGATCGATTATTTTTTTATTAAAATCAAAACTAAACCAAACCAAATTTGATCTGTTTTTAAAGTCAAAACCAAAAACAAAACAAAACAAAACCAAACCAAAAAAGTATCAAGTTTTTTGGTTGTTGATTCGATTTTAGGTTTGATTCAATTTTCGAGTTTTTATGAACACCCCTAGTTACTTGTATGCTCTATACAAATTGACTTGATTGAATTGGTGTATTGAGTGAGCTTCCATGGAACATTTAGTTACACAAGCATTTTGCAAATTCTCCTGTCTTTAATCCAATTATAGATTAATTAAAAAGGGAGAATCTACCTGTCATAGCTAAATCTAAGATCTATTTATGGATAATAACTAATTTTTAATTTAATTACTTTCCATAGCTACAATTTACCCATTAGTTATGCCAAATACATAGAGTTATTACATTGTATCAATCTTTCCCCTCAATCCTCTCTCTCTCTCTTATCCCTCAAATCTCTCTCATTTTCCCTCTCTCTTCGCCCTCGGCAAGGCTGTCGGTTTTGGCGGAGCCCTACCGGAGTCTAGCCAAATAGCTGCCCCTTTCTCTCTCCCTTCTCTTATCTCCACCATCAGATCCACCCCCCCCCCCCCTCTTTCTCCCCCTATCCCCTCCCTTGTCTCATCTCCATCGTCAGATCTAGATCTGTAAATCAAGAAGTTCATAATAGGTCAATTACCGACAGTAGAAACAATGGAGGAGGAAGATCAGAGCGGTCACTGGATCTGGATCTAACGGAGATGTCGAAATTCATGGATTCTTTTCCTTCTTTTCACATCTTAGTGTATTCGTCTGACCGAAAACTTATTCCTTCACCGTTGTTTTTCTTGCCAGAAAAAAAAGTTGCCTCTTTCTCCTCCACTACCTTTCACGCCGGGAAATTATTGTATAAATACAATATATTTTTGTATTTCGTCAGAGATCTAAAGTGTATTTTGTATTTTGGTCAGAGATCCGACGGTATTTGATTGTATTCTCCATTTTTAAATATAGTATATTTGTACTCTTGCCGGAGATTTGACTGGATTTGAATGTATTTTTCATTGTTTTAGTGTAAACACAGTGGTAGTTTGTATTTCGCCGGAGACCCGACCGGGTTTGATTGTATTCTTCATTCTAAAATACAGTGTATTTTGTATGGAGATTTGACGGATTTGACTGTTTCTTCATTTCATCATTTTTAGTGTAAATACATTCAAATACAATTGAATACGTTCAACCTTGCAACATCAAATAAGGTTGGATACAATTGAATAGTATATTCAAATACACTCAAATACACAACAACAGCAACAAACAACAACAATCCAATGAATTCCTACAAGTGGGGTATGGGGAGGATAGGGTGTACGCAGACCTTACCCTTACCTCGAAGAGTAGAGAGGTTGTTTTCGAATGACTCTCGGTTCAAGAAGACAAAAAGAGACAGTATATCAATACCATCAATAGAACTATGGGAATAATTGCAACATCATAAGAATTAGAAAATGGATGAAAACAATAACAAAAACCATTAAATAAAGCCTGATACTATGAAAACATAATAATAGAGTAGACATAACAATAACCGCTAGCAGCCTAGGACAAAACCTTATCAAACAAGCCTCTCACCTCGAACGAAGTAGAAAAATGCTTAGTTACCTCCTAACCTACCATCCTAATGCTCGACCTCCACATCTTTCTATCAAGGGTTATGTACTCGAAAATCTGAAGCCACGTCATGCCTGCCTGATCACCTCTCCCCAATATTTCTTAGGCCGCCTTATCCCTCTTCTCGAACCCACCAAAGCCAATCGCTCATACTTCCTGACTGGGGCATCTGGGCTTCTCATCCATATATGCTCAAACTATCTAAGCCTCACTTCCCGCATCTTGTCAACCACAGGGGCTACACCCACCTTCTTCCGAATATCTTTATTCCTAATTTTATCCATCCTAGTGTGCCTGCACATCCACCTCAACGTCCTCATCTCTGCTACTTTCATCTTATGGATATGTGAGTTCTTAACTGGCTAACATTCTGCCCCACATAACATGGCTGGTCTAACCACCGTTCTATAAAACTTACCTTTGAGTATTGGTGGCATTTTCTTGTCACACAGGACTCCAGATGCTAACCTCCATTTCATCCATCCCACCCTTATACGGTGTGTGACATCCTCGTCGATCTCCCCACCCCCTGGATAACCAACCTAAGTCACTTGAAACTGCCTCACTTGGAGATGACCTATGATCCAAGCCTCATGTCCAAGCTCGCTTCTCTCGGCTCAATGCTGAACTTGTATTCCAGTTATTTTTTCTTATTCTTGCTCAACTTGAAACCCTTAGACTCCATGGCTTGCCTCCAAATCTCAAGCCTCTCGTTAATGCCGCCTCCCATCTCATCAATCAGAACTATATCATCAGCAAACATCATACACCATGGCACCTCTCCTTGAATATATCGTGTCAGTGCGTCCATCACCAGAGCAAATAAGAACGGACTGAACGCAAATCTTTGGTATAAACCCATAGCAACTTAGAAGTGCTCCAAGTCGCCTCCCACAGTCCTAACCCGAGTTTTAGCTCAATCATACATGTCCTTAATCGCCCTAATGTAGGCAACTAACACCCCTTTTGCCTCCACTCAAATACACGTGAAAAATAAAAATAAAAAAGTTGAATAGTACATTCAAATACACTAAAAAAAAATATAGCATTTTTGAAAGTTTTCCATTAAAAAATATAGCAAAACTTTTCTAGTGTTATAAATAGAATTGTATTTAAGGTGAATACTTATATTTTAAAGATTTTAGAGTTTGTTACTTGGTAGCTAAGTAACTTTTTCCCTTTAAATAAATGAGTTCTATTCCATTGTAATTCATCCCAAATCAATAAGAATCTTTTCTCTACTTTCCTCTACAATGTTCTTATTCTTCTCTTATTGTTCTATAATATGTCATCATCATGAAACTCTAACCAATTGAATAGAGGCACCTGCTTTGGTCACTAGGCTTTGGGATACGTGCATGATGCTTGACTTGTACATAATATTGAGCATAATGATTGTCAATTGATCCATGAACTTCTTCATAAATAAATTCTGGATTTAAGGTAGGTATTTTACCTTATTTTTCTCTTTTAAATTCTTGAAATTCTATAATTTGATTTTATATACCAGCAAAGACAATAAAGTTTGATTATAACCCTAATAGAGTTTGTAAGAAATTATAACCACTCGAAGTGGTAAAATTTCTCTGTCTTGCCACGATCAAATCATGTATGATTGTGAGCACAAAAAGTGAAAACACGTCCCATTCAATTTGCTTCATTCTCATTCCCTTAAGAGAATGTGGTAGCAATATACAATAAGTCTGAAAAGACAAAATTATTACCGTGAAGGTATCAATGGATGTGGATGTGACAATAGACGAAATTATAATCATCATCATTGTGGTAATGAGAATAATAAGGATTCTCAAAATTATCCTTCACTTTGTGAAAGTATATTTTTGATCGATTTGACATGAAATTTTGTAAAGCACACATAGTTGAATATGATCCATTCATAATGTGAATGTGACAACATGTAATTTATGAATACATATTCATTCTTGGAAGAATATGAACGTGCTAGTTGTAAGCACGTGATTTTTGCCCTATATGAGAATTACTCCCAAAAATTCAAAAATAAAATAATTTTTCTTGGTGTGCAATTTTTGTGATATTTTAGGATATTTTGAATAATTATTTGTATTTGTTTGTGCATGTTTATTTGCTAAATTAATAAAAAATACAAAAATATGTCACATTTTGCATGTAGGATTTAATTCTACAATTGTTAGTAATTAAGTTTGTTTTACAAAATATAAAAATCACAAAAAATAGGCATCGTTTGCATTTTTAGCATTTAATGTCCAAATATACAATTTTATGCTTAATTATTACTTAATTCTGCGTTAATTGTTATTGGGAGTTAATTTGCGCTTTTATAACTTAATTTAGTTCTTAATAATAGTTTAAGTATTTTTATAATTTAGTTTTAGAAAAAATAAAAGAAGAAAAAAGAAAATAAAAATACAAAAAATCGGAATTAGGCCTCTTCTTCAAATTCAAGCCACAAGCCCAAAAAATACCCAATCTTCCAAAACGACCCAGTCCATGTCGAACTGGGTCGACCCAGTCCATAACCCAAAAGACCCAAACCCCCCTTTGTCTTTCATTTTTTACAAAACAAAAACAAAAAAGAAGAAGAAAACCCTAAAATTATACTAACTCATCCGCCCCCTCCCTATCTTCTTCTTCTCCAAGCATCCAAACACCCCTCCCATGGCTGACCTTTACCCTCCATTATCACGTCCAAACAACCCCTCACAGCTTCATCTTCACCCTCACCATGGATGACCCAGTT